AGAGTTGAGACATCTGGGGCGCCTGGGGTGTGATGGCACCCAGAGCTGTCTGGGGCTCTCCAGCCTGCATCTGCCTGTTGTACTTGGCTGACCCTGAGTGGACAAACAAAGCCAGAGAGGAAACTGGGCAAGGCACTTCTGTCAGCTCCCTGACTGTTCTTGGGGAAGGCCTCTGCTCCCGACCCTCCTCGGACAATAGTTGTGGTGGACAGGGGCTTGAGAATCAGAATCCCAGAGGGACATCAGATGTGTGTGACAGCGTCCACTGAAGTCACCTGAAAACAGCAAAAGTGAAACTGGGAGGAGGGCTGAGAGAAGCAATGTGGCCTCTCTGAATTCTGGAGCATGAGGGGGCAGACAGGAGAGATTGAAAAAGGCTCAAGCAAGACAAACAGGACAGATGGCAAGGCTCTGAATGCCAGCCAGAGGATGTAGGCTTTGTCTCTCTCAAAAAGAACCATCAAAGGTTTTGAGAAAGATTATTTGAGGGTTGTAAGGAGGCCACACAACCCCAAAGGAGTCGCAATTTCCAAAGTGTCTATTTGGCTGCCTCTCCAACAGACTCCTCTCAGCTGGCCCTAGCCAACTCAAACACATACACACCCCCACTACCCCCTTCTCCAAATCGGTTCCCTTCAAATTGTCACTCCCCACAGGGCTGCATTCAAGCATCAGTTCTAAATAGTCCCACTGTTCAGCTTTAACGAGAAGTAATACCAATCCCCATGTTTGCTCAGAGAGCACCATATTTCATCAAACCAGAGCCCATGCAGGCTCAGATTACTGTCCGAGACAATGTTCTGTAATCCTGGTTTATTCACATGTCACGGGTATTTTAGCAAAACAGAAATGAATGGCCCTCACCACCCTAGGAAGTGCCGGGAGAGCTGGGTTCCCGCCCAGGGGAAGTCATGCTTTCCCTGGCCACGGTTCTCAGAGGAGCTGACTCTGATCCTCTGAGTTTCCCCTGCTTTCAGAAAGAGAATATGGGCTGAGGAGGAGTCAAAGACTGGGTAGTTATTTCCCCATAAAATGTGAACTCCACGGATGGATTTTGCCAGAGCAAAAATAAAATCTGCCATTGATTATAAAGTCCTTTGTGCTTGCTATTTCACAGATTTATTACACTCTGGCCTGGCAGCCTGGAGAGGCCCTGAGATTCTTGTCTCCAGCGCCCCACAGCTTATACCCCAAATGGGGACAGGGACTTGCTGGCGTTTCTTTTGTCCTTGAAGGGCCAAGAGCTTTGGAAATTTAGATGAAGAGCCGTGAATCATGCTACAGACACACGGATAACAACAGCTCATTCTGGAGGGCTAACACTTGCTAATCAAGGAAACATGGTCCCTTCCCTTTTGGCTTTTGGCAGTGCATGCCAACAAAAGTGAGTTCTTTGCAGAGCCTCTCACCAAATCTCCCAGTGTCTGGGTTCGCGCTGAATATGCTACAACCTCTTTCAAACCCACCACAACAAGAAGAGTAATGATACCATCGATGCAATTTCCTGCCATCTCCCGTTAGAACATTACCAATAAACCTCATAACGTTCCGCTCATTCTCGTGGTTAAAAGTTATAGAAACTGAAGCCCAGAGAAAGTGATATAGTTGCTTAAGATCACACAGCCAGGTAATAGTGGAGATGGGACATGGGCCTAGTCCTTAATGGCTTCACAGGGCCATATGGATGCTCCCACTTCCACGACTAGATTCACAGGAAGCCACAAATACAGCACTGGAGGTGAGACAGCCTTTTGGGATTTAGAGGGCTGTGAGGTGTCCCAGAGCAACAGACCTGGTTAGAATCACAAACTGAGTTATTCATGGAACAACTGAACAGTCCTATCAAACAAGGACAGTAAGAATGCTTCATTTGACATCTACCTGGGAAGTGATTAAGAAAACAAAACAAAACAAAAAAACCAATGTTCTTGCTTCTTAGAGCCATCAGATTGTCCCCTGCTATACTGAGGTGTGGGCCTTCCAATCGCAGGGATCCTTACCTCTTTCTCACCATTTTCTGAGCTGAGGACAACCCTCTTCCCCTCTTCCCCTCTTCCCCCAGAATGTGTGACAGAGAAGATAAAAGGCTGGGATCCCATAAACTACCATGCTATCTCTAGAGAAAACACCCGTGCATCCCAAAGCACAAGGTCAAGAGCCTGATCTTAACAGAATGGTCCCCACCCAGGAGCAGAATAACTGTGTGGGAAGCTGTGGAAGTAGGGAATTGGAAAACTTAAATCCGTAGTCAGCCATCTCCACTCTTATTATTCCGAGCTGCAGCCTGAGCTATTAAAAACAAAACATGTTCATTGGCAAGCTCTACAATTAGCCTCATTTCCACGCTCAAACACTGTTCAGCACGAGCTGCATTTGCACAGATTGCTTCTTGTCTGTGCTCTGCTGCTTGGAGCGCTGTGCTGGGAGCTAGCGAGGATGTGACCCAGTGGTAATCTGAATTGCTTCACCAAACACATTTTTATCCCATCATCTCGGCCACATGAAAGGGGGCCACAGTGTTCCAGTGTTCAAAACTTTACAATCCTGCTGTTCAGCAATAAAATGAGGCAAGAAATATTAGCCGTCCCTGGCTGATGCCTTAATTCTTTCGAAACAATGTCAGAGAATCTGTACCCTACAGGTTTTAGTGCCTGCTAAAGCCTGACCCTCGAGCTGGCTTGAATGGAGCCAGAATGAGTTAAGGAGGGTGAGGAGGCTTTAATGGACAAGGATCCGAATAGCCCAGCTTGTGCCGGCCTCCTGCAGGCTCACCCTCCTTTTCACAGGCCTCGATTGTGTTTGGCCCCAGCAGAGACAAAACTACCCCTGAGTAGAGGTTACCCCCAGCTGGCACAGGTCAGAGGCATTGTGGGGGAGAGCAAAAGAGGGGGCCAAGGGGAAGTGAGGGCACACGAAGAGGGAGGGAAGTGAGGTGGAGGAGGACATTTATAAGGGAGCATGGACTGAGCTATTTATAAGGAGAGATTCAGTTACAAAGCTGGGACTTGGTAGACTCACCTCCAGAAAAAACATTTTGGAAAAACCAGTTCACAAAGCAAGTGGGAACTACATATGAATGGGAAGTTGAATGCAGTGTGAGTTAATTTCCAAAATAACATGTATTTATATACATAATAAACACTATCCCTCAGCAATTCCAAAAACTACAGGCCAAAGTTTCAGAGCTCTAGGTAGGATTGACTCTAATATGACAGTCTGAATTTTTTCCTAAAAACTGTAAACGGGCTGTTTTACACAGCATAAGCTTTTTCCAGGAAATTTTCCATTATTGCATCATGAGCCCTCCAAGAAGAGTAACTATTTTGGCTCCCAGGGCACAAAGTTAGCAGATAAGAGGAAAGTTGGGTTCATAGGAGTACAGATTATGTCATACAGCACAGAGACTGTCCATGCACTGGAAGAGTGTGGGCTTGAAAGGGGTCCTGTCCTTCCCTCTAAAACAGTGGTTCTCAACCTGTGGGTTGTGTCTTCTTGGGGGGGGGGAGTTGAAAGACCTTTCACAGGGTTCCACTAAGACTATTGGAAAACACAGATAATTCTATTCCCATTCAAAACAGTAGTAAAATTACACTTTTGAAGTAGCAATGAAAATAATGTTATGGTGGGGTCACCACAACCTGAGGAATGCACGAGAGGGTTGCAGCATTAGGAAGCTGGAGAACCACCTTAGAGTCTGAAGATTTCTTAGTGTTGAGGGTCCTTGACTACTTTCTCAGCCTGCTGATTGGTGTGGACCCCTCCCCTAAATGCACAAAGTGAAATACCCAGGCTAACAAAGGAAACCAACAGCACTATAATTATAAAAATACCTTAAAGCAAATATCTGCAGCACAGTTAACAGTAATGAATATCCCATTTCATTAATTCCTTAATTAGCAGGGGACCCAAGAGTGACTGTAATTTCGATAAAGTTTAAGCAAAAGTATTAATTTGGGAAATCTGGGATACCTTCTCTGTCAAATGAAAATATAAGAACATTGTCTATCTGTGAAAAGCCACCCCACTGGCCTCTATGGTTGGTTGCTTGGCTGTTTTGGAAAAAGTTAGTAAAAATGACCAGGTTTTCCCCCCAGCAGGATCCCGAATTCTATCTATGGGGAAGTAGCTTTGCTAGAGTGAAGCACCTGTGGGCCATTCTTCCTCAGGGCTAAGCGGCCTAGCAGGAGCCTACAACAGCACTTCACTGGGAATTTAAAAACAAAACAACAACAAAACATGTTGGTTTTTTTTTTTTCCCTCCCTCTCTGATGCGTTGGAACTTCTGATAAAGTAAATTGAAAGCATGTTCTCTCCTTTTTAAGCAACCCCTTCCGAAGCTTTATATAGACCTTCTTTGATGTATTTCTTTAACAACTGGAATCACTATTGCCAAATAAAGGGTCAGTTTACCTGATAATACTAATTCTGAATTTTGATCAAGATCTTGCTTCCACCACCTTAGGTGGGTTGAACTTTGGAACCACACACACCCTTTCTGCTGTTAAAGACCACAGCGCCTGTTCTCCAGCCTGCACCTTTGCATTTTGAGCACACACTGGCTCAGAGACAGCTAGGCACACATCCCCTCTGGGGTCCTCATAGGGGAGCTGTCATCTTACAAACCACATAGCCATAGCATGCCATTGCAGGGGCAACCCCGCAGGCGGGCCCCCCTCCAAAGGCCGCCCAGCCCCCGCGACGCCCTGGCTCAGCTGCAGGCAGCGACACTCCGGAGCCGGCTGCCGGGCTGGGTCTCCGGCTCTCTGCGGGGGAGCAGGGAGCGCGCCCGCCCACACCCACGGCCCGACACTCGCGAGCGCACACCCCGGCGCGCGCGCGCCCGCACACCAGGGCGCACGCACAGCAAGCACACCGGGGCCACGGACCGGCTCAAGCGAGTGGGGACGCAGCCGGACTCCCCTCGAGAGCGCTCTCGGCCATCCCGCCCCGCCCCGCCCCTCTCGGACTCGCTAGTCCCGGCGCCGCACCGTGGGCTGCAAACTTTGCAGCGCGAAGCAGTCAAGGAAGCGCGCCGGCGCGGGCTCGGCTGGGCTCCACGCTGCTCGGGACAGCCGTGAACGCTGGGCCAGCTGCGTGAGTACTCTGCCCACAGAGCTGCTGCCAAGAGCCAAACCTGCTACCTCGATTCTGGCCCGCCCGGGGTGTCCGACTCCCATAGGGACTTTCCAGCCGCAGAAGAGGTGCGCAGCCGACACTGAGCCTTCCCTATCTGTCCTCCTAGGCTCAGACCCTTCACCACCATCACTCAGCCATGGCTCCAGGTCCTGGTCGGATCAGCTTAGGGTCCCAACTGCTGCCGATGGTGCCGCTGCTCCTGCTGCTGAGGGGCGCAGGCTGCGGCCACAAGAGCCCCTCATGGTCCTCACTGCCCTCAGCAACTGATGGTCTGCAGGGGGACAAGGACCCCCAGCTGTCACCCGGGAACGCAGCAACAGCTCTGGGCCCTGGTGCCCAGGACATGGTCGCTGTCCACATGCTCAGGCTCTATGAGAAGTACAACCGAAGGGGCGCTAGACCAGGAGGAGGCAACACGGTCCGAAGCTTCCGTGCCTGGCTGGGTAAGTAGAGGCTACACTAGGACTTGGTCCTCATTCATCCAGTTCTCTTATCTGTCCTCTCTGCTCCGTTGCAGCTCTGCTTCTCTCCTCCTTTCTTGTATTGACTCAGCTCTCCGTACCAGGCCAGAGCTTGCAGTGGGGACACCAAAGTGGCACTTGGTGGCGGACCTCCTACCCCTGGGGGCTTCCACTACTGCTGGACAAAGGTCAGCATACACACTAGGCTTTAGGCACAGAGTGGAGATGGGCACAGGCTGAGGACGATCCGTCTTATAAATTGTGTTGGCACTTGCTGTCTGAGGGGGGAGCACGGTCAGCGGGTCTCAAGGCAACACTGAGCCCAGATAGAAAGACTTGTTTGGGGAGCAAGAGAGCATAGTGCACTGAGAAGGGCCTGTGTCCCCAGGACTGAGGATGTTTCAGAAGACAGGTTTCAGGAAAGGTCCGGAAGTACCTTGTTCCTCTCCTGGTCCATGCTCCACGTCTCCACTCTCTTCACACCTAGGGTTAAGCTTGGCAGAGGCCACTTGACAGAGGCTTTCTCCACCCTCTTCTTAGAGAAGGTCCTCTGAGCTCCTGCCCACTAACTTTGGACTGAGCAGCCCTTGCAAGCTGGGGGCCAAGTGCAGAGGAAGTGCAGCCTGGGAAGCAGGTGGTGAGAAGACCCTGGTTGTCATGGTGACTGCTCATAGTTTCAAAATGCTCCTCCAGAAAATGTGGGCAGGGGTCTCCTGCAGTCCTGTCTGGGAAGGAGGCCGTTCCCCGGGAGAAAAATCCTCCAGTCGGCGGTCTTCTCTCCCAACATCCGTAGGAACAAATCTCAGCCAACTCTGGGTATAGGCTCAGAGCTTCACCACCCGCTGCTCACTGTACGCTTGACCCTGGGTAGCCCTGGGGCTTCAGATACAGACGTAACACAAAGAGGCACATCCTTCAACTTACAAGGATGTGTTCCTAGGTTCTGCACCAAATCTGGCCTCCCTGGAACATGTTACTCAATACCTGGAGCTCATTTCTGGAGAAGCATTATTAAATTAAGCCACTTAAGAACCATGTGGCATGACTGAGTTACATTATTACAGCTATGTGGACTTGTTTGTACTCTATAAAATGAGCACTACATAGCAGTGTCTCCCATTCGGGGTTTGAGAAAGATGAAATGAAGTAATAGCGTAAGTTCAGAGCCCCGGCAAGGTCAGGTGGTATCACCTGTTGTAATGCTGGGAATAAAATGCACTGTGATGGGTGCTTTGTGCTCACATAGCCTTTGTTGCCTGTTAACTCCGGTCCTTGAAGCCTCGAAGTGGTCACAGCTGTAACAAGAAATGAGCTTGTTCATAGGGGGCAAGCACCTGCTGCAGCCCAGTCATCGAGGGGCACAGCTCTGTCTGTTTTCACCAAATCAAAGTGATTCTCTCTGTGACAAATACTAGTGAACATTTTAGTGGCCTGGGCACTGTACCTTAAATCCAGCACTCCCTTTTTTATAGAGAAAGACAAAAGGACAGCAGAGAAAGCTGTGGAACATACCGGGCAGTAACAGCCGTCCTTACTGCCACACACTGCCACTGTCTCTCTTATCACAGCTAATCCCAGAGCCTGGGAGCCGAGCATAAGGGTGGAACAGACAAGTTTAAGAAATCAGAATTCTGGTGCAGTCCTGAAGTGTCTGAAAATACCCTTTTTGTTGGATCCCTGACACAAACTAAAGAGTAAATTCCAACTTCACCGTTTTACTGGCTGTGTGCTATGGCAATACCACCTCCCTGTTCTGAGCATGTTTTCCTCCATGTGTGTAGAGAGGGTGAGCATTGACTAGAAGGCAAACCTCAGCCTGGCATAGAGTCAGGACTTGGTTTCTTGTACCTTGCTTTGACTCATCTGCATTGTTTCATACTGAACCTCAGATGATCCTGCCACTCTCTCTGGAGATCCACCTGTGGGCTGCTGTGAGCAGAGCACAGACCTCTTGCCACAGCCCTGATGCTGGAGCTTACCAATCCCAGAAGGCTCCGTGGAGGCAGGGCTCTGCTGCCTCCCCAGGTTAGCATTCCTGAAACGTGTTACAGCTCCTTCACCCTCATCTGCAGGAGGCCCGGGTTCTGAGGGTGAGCTACCGAGTCTGTTAGCAGCACCCTGAGCCAGTTCTGGGATCCAGCCGAGGGACAGCAGTTCTCATGAGTAAGGGTTTCTTTCATCTTCTAAATTGTGACTCCCCTCCTGATTGATAACATTTTTTAAAGGATCTTAGAAATGGCAAGTACTTTGGACAGTTGTTAGTGTGTGCTCATTTGCGATTTATTAGCTCCTAACCGTGATTACACCAGCTTTCCTTGACCCTGCCTACTCCCGCCTGAGATGCACTTTGTTCCCTGTTAGTCAGCATCTGTGGAGGGAAAGCCTTTGAGCCTGGCCCAAAGGGTTTAGGTTAGACCACCATTTACCTCCACAGTCCCCATGAATAATCTGTGTTTCTTCATCTCCCTAATATAACCAGCTGTCAAAACTGCCAAGTCAAGCTCATTTCATTCCCTAGTGGATTAATCTCAGTTCTGTTACCGTAGCAAAATACCAGGAGTTGAGTTGGGGGAAAAAGACTCGTCTAGCTCATGTTCAGAGACGGAACGACTGGACCTCATGGTGATGGCTCTGGTGGCAAACCCTAGGGTTATGTCACAGTGTAATAGAGGCATTGTGGCTGGAAGACTCACGAGAAGGACCGATCATGAGGCATGACAGAGAACCAGAAAGCAGGGAACAGGTAGCCTTTAGCCAGGTGTGACAGCCCCTCCCTTGGGAACTAAGTGGGGTCTCATGAGAGAAACATCTTCAGTGACCTACCACTAGGTCTCAGCCCTTTAAAGACCCCAGTACCTCTAACTATTGCCACACTGAAGACCAAACGCTCTGCATTTGGAAACAAACTAAATCCAAAACATATGATCAGGCATTTCCTAAGCACTGCCTTTGGAGGATTCAGACATAGAATGTTGGTTTCACCCAAAATAGCTCACAGGCTGGACTGGCAGGGCAGATAGAAGGAACCAAAAAGTAGGGCAGTGGAGTAGTTGTGCCAGGATAATGATAGCTGAGGATCCCTAAGGGTAGTACTGACAGAGAGGGGGCAGTGAGGTCTTCACAGCCCAGCATGTTGATGGGCAGGAGCGATAAAGACAGTAAACAGTCCACTGAGTGTTGGAACTGTTGGGCATTTGCTTAAGAGGGGAGGCAGATACAGAATGCAGCCAGTCCCAGAGAGCCTTAATTTTGCCTGTTGACAATAGAACAATATCAAGCATATATTGATGAAACGGGGGTGGGCAGAGAGAAAAGGAAGGGTGGAAAAGAAAGAGTAGGCAGATAGAATGTTTTTAAAAACACAGTAACAAACATAAGTTATTCTTAATCACATATACAGATAGAAACAGAGTGTAAGTAGTGTTTTGTGGAATCATTTCAGTACTGCATAAAAAATGCACATATGTCTACAAACATATGCATATAGACATTAGCCTAATGGGGTTCTATTTTCTGCATGGAGGTATTCCCACATGCAACTATCCCTGAGGCTCTGCAGTTCTTCCCATGGAAATGACCTCTTACTCTGGGGATATTAACCTTTCACTTCTTAAAGGTAATGCTTCTGAAGCATGTGTGTGACACCAAGAGTTGACAATTCTGTGGCAACTGATGCAGTTGATGGCCAGGGAGAAGAAAGCTATGATGAGGATGTAGCATCTACAAGGCCAACAGTGCCTGGAGTTGGTTTGACGCCCAAAGGGAGGAAGAGAGAGAACTCTCTGCCAATGTTGGAAGGTTAGATGGTTTGTGAACTCTCCTACTCAGAAAGAGCCTGAAATAGATACTCAGCACAAGCCTTGGCCCCCTTCTTCTCTGCTCACAAGGGACTGGCCCTCTACTTCCTACCTCCAGCTTGCATAGAAGTTTGAATCTTCAACAGGTGATGCCTATTCTGTTATCCCTGATGACTGCTCTGGGGCCAATGTGGAAATGGTAGCTTGAATTCTGTTTGTATAGGGCAGGGCAATCTGTCTGAGGTATTACCCTTAGGCTGAGGCCATCAGGGTACCTATCTCATTCCCACTGTCACGAGGGTAAAGATGAGTGACCTGCTGAGAGGTTAGGGTCTTGAGAACCCCCAAAATCCGTAGAGATTGGAAATTGGATTGCTTAAGTAAAGGCAGTCCTTTTTTCTGGGAAATACAGAAATTAAAATTACCCAATGTTTTTTGTCTTACAGCAGGTAATGTTTGTTTATGGGCTCATGGGCACATCATGACAGTAGACAGAGCACATTGGGGAGCAAAGGGCATGTGTTTCAGGTGAGAATCACTGAAGACATGCATGACTGCACTTCTCAGCAGCTGTAGAACATAAGGCTAGTAACCGGCTCTCTCTGACATGCCAAGAACTCCTCCCCTCCTTTTAACCTTTTCTTGATTCTTTGTGGGTTTCACTTCATGCACCCCAGTACCACTATTTTTCCATCCCCTCCTATCTGCTCTTCACCCCAAAATAAAATACACAAACAACAATAAACATAGAAAACATCTCATCGTGGAACCTGTAGAAAGTCACACTGTGTCTCACAGTATGTCTCCACACATCTTCACTCACCAATGTTCTTTACAATGAGTCATTGGTCTACACACCTGGCATCTGTGACATCATCAATATTGGATCCTCACTGGGGTTCCTCCTGGTTATCCTGTTGTTGCCCTGTGTCATGGAGATCCTGCAGCTTTGGAACAAAAGAACTAGACCTTTTGTGTGCCCCAACCCATTCGCAGATGATATAAATTTGGGATGGGCAAATTCAGAGCCCGGGATCAGGGCCTTGGTGGTAGCTGAGTTGGTCAGCCTGCCAGCTTTCTCTTATCTACACCACCAGGGTAAGTTCTCCAGCTCTGCTCTGGCTAGGCCACTCAATAGTGCTAGGCTCAAGAGGCAGGGTCTGCTCTCCTGCTCTAATGCCCTTGGGGCCAGCTCACTAGCACCCATACCTCCAGAACCAGCTCCAAAGTGCTGTAGCCTGTGAGGTGCTGGGCCAGCTCTCCCATTCACACCATCAGGCCTGGCTCATCCATGCCTTTGTCATCAGGACCATATCCACTGTATTGCCCAGGGGAGGTGCAGGGCCTGCTCTTCTTATTGCTACAGCCAGTGAGAGGGCAGGGCTAGCTTTCCCTCGATCCCTATCATGACCCCACCTCCCCTTTGTTGACTGAAGCAATGAAGCCACTCTGTCCCCGCCCCTTCCTGTGTTCTTACAGTGTACAGTACGCACCAGGAATCCCATCATTCACATCTGTTTCTGAGCACCAGTTGCCACCGGATTGCAATAGCATATAGAGATACCCCATGAAGTGCAGGTGGCGAAGCCCTTGCCCTCTTGGAAAATGTGTTCTGGAGGGATCGGTAGTAACAAAAGACACATCAAAGATGCTGGAAGTGCCCTGAAGACAAAGTCAGGGTGGACAGTGCTAAGTGGGTCTTCAGCCACAGGAGCCAAAGGGAGACACCCTAGGAGCAGAGACCTGGAAGAAGCCTGACTGATCAGAACCATGAAGGCAGAAGAGTGATACGTGCCACTCATAGAAAGGCCAGGAGAATGTGGATGGGGGGTGGGGAGGACAAATGCAGTCGTAGAGGCTTGCAGGGAGCTCATGCAGGGACTTAGTAAAGGATGGAGTATTTAGGTGGCAAGGACCTCAACAGGAGTGGTACACAATTGGAATGCTCCCATAATGCCATTCCCTTCTTAGAGAACGCTCTGTAAAGCCGTAATGTAACCAGAACCCAAGAATAGCTGTGATCATTACCATTCTGTGGTCCTAAGTGGCTTCCAAGCACCTTTGACTGTCTTTGCCAGGACTCCAACCAGCCCATCATTTAGCCAGTGTAGTCCCTTCGCAAATGTTTATTGGGAAACAGGATGGATAAATGGAGGAAAGGAGGAGGGAGGCTGCCTTCTCCTTGGCTGTGAGACAGGAGCCACATGCTCCAGCACAGTGTCTAGAACAGAGGGGCTTCTTGTTTTCTCCTTGGTGCCCTATGCCCCACTTAGCTGGGAACATTGGAGGTGCCCCCCGCTCTCAGCCACAACCTGGAGCGTTTGTTTGCATGAATGGAGGCATATACATACATGGACTCCCACTCTGGGTTGGGGTGACCCACCTGGACCTCAACATCTCCCACCAACGACAGTCTTTTTTTGAGCAAGTAGCCCGGTGAGGGGTGACTCCCTCCTCCCAAATGTATTCAAGCCAGGTGTGATGGACTTCTCCCTCTCACCCGGCCTCTGGAGATTCCTCCCCACTCTGGACCAATGATGAAGCAATACTTGAACTACATTAAAGGCAAACACAAGCTGCCGAGTCAGATGTTATGGAGAACAGGTGGTGAGTGAGTGTGTGACTCTGTATAGAAAACCCTTGCTTTGCCACCCTTGGTTCTTTAAATGAAAATGGCTGGGAGGTACCTTTGCGAACATCTCCTGTGTGAAGCATATGACCTGTGCCATTTCTGTAATCTTCCAAGGACTGCACAAGCCGGGGGGTGCTAATCTTCCTATGAGACTAATGAGAGAATAAGGCTTAGAGTATGATGTTCTTCTCTAGGGCCTGGAACTTTTTTTCTAGGGTGTTTTCAAGGTCCATTACAAGAATATGAATACGTAGAGGGAGGGGAAACGGCAGTCATGAAGTATTATACAAGAGAAGAATAAATAAGTAAATAAAGTATGAATATTGCTAATAGAATTATTATTCCTTTCCAATAAAACAAAATATTAAGCCAGTGGGTGGATTTTTTTTTGAGAATTTTTTTAATTTATTTTTTTATTCTTACTTTCTGCTTGCGTAGGCATGTCTGTAGGTATGCCTGGTGCTCAAGGAATCCAGAGGAGGGCATCAAATACCCTGGAAGTGAAGTTACAGACAGCTGTGTGAGCTATTGTGTAGGTACCGGGACCCGAACCTGGGTCCTCTGCAAGAGCAGCAAGTGATCTAATACTTTTCCAGCCCTAAGCCAATGGTTCTCAAAAAATAATCCCAGCTTGCCCTCTGGATACAGGTGCCAAATAGACCTACCTGTCTCTTGGAGAGTGGAAAGCACCCTCAGCACACACCTCCCTGCTCTGATCCTTACCCAGCTGTACCGAACAGACAGACCTCTGAATGGAGAAGGAGGAGGAAGTCCACCCAGCCACTTTGGTCTTCCCCTGGTCTGTAGTATCCCAAGATGGCAGCAGCAAAAGACCATCTGTCCTTCTCAGTCCCAGAGAGGACTTCCTCACTATAGAGAGTTTATCTTGCTGTCAAGGCCAGGGCGATGCAGGTGGCCCGGGGAACTCCTGATGGAATCCCGAGAGAAGGAAAGGGCTTCCAGCTGCTCCTGGAAAGCATAAATGAGAACTCTCCCATTACACCCTGTAGATACACAGCTGAGTGGACCTGGCCCTCTCAGCTTGGAGCTTGTGCCTCCAAAGGACAGTGTGAGCCTTGGAATAGTATAACATACTATAATCCCCATATTGCTGTCTTTGAAAAAAAATTTTTTTTCAAGACAGGGTCTCACTATGTAGCAGTGACTATACTGGAAGTCACTAGGTAGACCAGGCTGGCCTCAGACTCACAGAGATTCTCCTGCCTCTGCCTCCCACGTGCTGAAATTAAAGGCATGCCTGGCTGTAAAAAATGAAGCAAAACGAACAAACAAAGAAAAAAATTATAAGTCCTGGGACAAAATGAACACCAATAGAACGAACCCTATATTACTTTAAAAGATTCTAAGAGTGGAGGGAGAAAAAAAAAAAAGATCACACTTAGCAGAAATTGCTTTAAAAACTGCATAGTATAGGTACACGAACCGGGTCTTGGGTCTAACTCAAACCATCATGAGCTCCTAACGAAGGTGCCAGTGACATTCATTTGTTGTTTGAAAGCCAGGGGAAGACAAAAAGGAAACCGCAGGAGCATTAGTGTTTGATACACTTAATCATCACCCCTGGTCTCTCCCTCCCTCCCTCTTCTCTCTCTGCTCCCCATTCTCCCTCCTTTTCTCACGATTTCATCTTCATTCCTCTCAATGGGACGGTGACAATTCCCTGCTTTTCACTGCTTTTCACTGAGCGAAGCAAAGGAGGCTGTCACACCTTCAGAGTGAGGACTGCAGGAGGTGAGGAAAGTGAAGTGAGCCCTGCTTGAGAGTGCTGGGTCAGTGGGGATTGTTCCGCTCTCCCAGTTCTGGGCAGAAACCCAAGAACAGGTTGCACTTCAAGAGAAAACCTAACAGCTTGTGGTCTGTCTTTCCCTTGCAGAAGTGGTCGACCAGAAGCCTGTGTATTTCTTCAACTTGACTTCCATGCAGGACTCGGAAATGATCCTCACAGCGGCCTTCCACTTCTACTCAGAACCCCCACGATGGCCCCGGGCACGTGAGGTACTCTGCAAACCGAGAGCCAAGAATGCATCCTGCCGCCTCCTGTCCCCTGGTCCGCCGGCACGCTTGCACCTAATCTTCCGCAGTCTCTCGCAGAACACAGCTACTCAGGGGCTTCTCCGTGGGGCCATGGCCCTGGCACCTCCACCACGTGGTCTGTGGCAGGCCAAGGATATCTCCTCAATTGTCAAGGCTGCCCGAAGGGACGGAGAGCTGCTCCTCTCTGCCCAGCTGGATTCTGGAGAGAAGAACCTCGGCGTCCCCAGACTCAGCCCCCACATGCCCTATATCCTCGTCTATGCCAATGACCTGGCTATCTCAGAGCCCAACAGTGTAGCTGTGACGCTGCAGCGATACGACCCCTTCCCAGCTGGAGACTTAGAGCCTGGGGCAGCCCGCAACAGCTCAGCAGACCCCCGTGTGCGCAGGGCTGCTCAGGTCTCTAAACCCCTGCAGGACAACGAACTGCCAGGGCTGGATGAGAGACCAGCCCCTGCCCTGCACACCCAGCACTTCCACAAGCATGAGTTTTGGTCCAGCCCTTTCCGGGCACTGAAACCCCGCCCTGGGCGCAAAGACCGCAAGAAGAAGGACCAGGAGACTGTTGCTGCCTCCTCACAGGTGCTGGACTTTGATGAGAAGACAATGCAGAAAGCCAGGAGGAGGCAGTGGGATGAGCCACGGGTCTGCTCCAGGAGGTACCTGAAGGTGGATTTTGCAGACATCGGGTGGAATGAATGGATCATTTCACCCAAATCCTTTGACGCCTACTACTGTGCTGGGGCCTGCGAGTTCCCCATGCCCAAGGTACCGCCTCTGTGTTCTTCTCTTGTCTCACCCTGACTTGGTTCTGTCCCAGTTGACCATCCCTCTAAGTGCCTGGCCTGTTTCACCGTTTGCAAAATGGAGATGACAGGTCTCCCGTCTGCTGAGGTGGAAGCAGAGGTGTACCCACAGCCTGTTAGGGTTTACTTTGTTGGCTTTTTAAAAAATGTTGGCTTTGACTTCTTTTTTTTTTTCTAAGTCGGTCCCTGTGCATGTATCGCAGGCTAGCTTCAGTCCTATTTAGCCACTCAGCTTCTGGGATCGGAGACATGTTCTGGTATGTCTTGCTTTGGGTTGGGATCTTAAAATTAGCAAGGCATCTCTTCCTAGAAACGGGAAGAGGGCATTCCCACGGAGCAGACATCTTCAGAGACTGAGTGAGTGCTGCCTCCCAGTGGACAAGGTATCCAATGTTTCCTCCTGACTAAGGCTCTCTTAGTATCTGTTTAGCCTGAAGCAGGAGCACAAGTCCCTGTGATCAGACTGCTTTTGCTGTCGGTAGCCCTCCCAGTGGGATGCCCCTGGTTTGCTATATCCAACGTCGGAGCAGACTTCACAGTGCAGTCTTCTGAAAGACACATTGCCCTGGACTGTTTAATCTCCCTGGCCCTGAGTTTTCACCTTCTCCCAGGCTGGGCTAACTCCGTCTATCCATCATCCTACAGCCTATGTTACAGTAGGCTGGCTGTGTCAACCCCCAGCACCCACATCAGTTCCCCTCAGCTAACGCTGCAGAATCCTCTGTGGTAGATCTTCCAAGAAAGAAAGTCAGTGCATAAATCCAATTTGACCCTCAACAAACAGACCCAGTAGGCAATCCCAGGCCCAGATGTGGGCCATACAATCTGTCTGGAATTAAGAGGCTTCTCCTCAAATCCACGCATGCACAAGAGAGAGGAAGGGAGGCAGCTGGCAGAGAGAGAGAGAGATGATCTGCCTAAGCGCTTCGCATGGGCTCAGGACAGATGTGGGCGCACAGCTGCTCGCTTTATCAGGCTGGCTTGCTGCCTTCCCACTTTCAGAATGCCAGCCGAACCCTGCACATACAGGTTCCCCTGCCCTTCTCTTGCTGCTTCCTCTCTCCCACAACAGCATAAGGCTTCTTGTCGGAGACAGCTCTGATCAGCTAGCCAAGAGCTGAAGCTGGCTGTCTGTGTTCTGTTTCCAGAAGTGGCCACAGTTTCCAAGCCAGGCAGCTTTCTAACTGAGACATCTTGATCATATTTCTTAGCCATTTTAAGCCATGGTGTCCATGTCAGTACAATGAAGGTCACATTGTCCATGTAAATTTATAAGAAGTCAAAATGAGAAGATAGAGTAACGTGGCACCTGTCACCCCAAGTCAAGTACATATTGAAATGCCTGTCTGCCAGACCAAGCATATCATTTTAGTTTTAACCAGGGTTGCTCTGGAGGCGTGTCTGCTGGCTGAGCCATGGTTCTGGGCTTTCCCTTGCAAAAGCTTCCTTCCAGCTTCAGTGTTCCTCACAGGTGACAAGCAGGTGCCCCCGAGAGGCCAGTTTCATGTAGCAGATGTGCCATCCTTTTAAGTGGGCAAACTCAGGGGCACCAGGACTGAGCGTGTAAGGATTTCAGAAGAAACATGTGCCCAGCTCTGGACAGAGGCTTTTTCTTCCAGGCCACCCCTTGCATGGCCTCACTCAAGAAACAGCAGTAAGCCGCAAGCTCTGAGCTAACTGTCTCTTCTAATTTGCAGATTGTCCGCCCATCCAATCATGCCACTATCCAGAGCATCGTCAGAGCTGTGGGCATTGTCCCTGGTATCCCAGAGCCCTGTTGTGTTCCAGACAAGATGAACTCCCTTGGAGTCCTTTTCCTGGATGAGAACCGGAATGTGGTTCTGAAGGTGTACCCCAATATGTCTGTAGAGACCTGTGCCTGTCGGTAAGATGGCTTCGAGGTGGAAGACAGTCCTGCTTTATCGCTGTCCTGCACAGTGGCATTCTTGGAGCCAGGACTTGACTCGGGGTGCTAGACAGAACTTACAGGCAGCCTTGCCAGGACCTAGAAGACTCTGTCCACCATGTCCTCGTTCTTCCGCTTTTTCCTTGCTCGTGGTAGCTCTGTAAAGACTTTTTGAGTTCCTGGAAGGAATTTGGAATTAACTGTGGTCTGTAATTTGCCCATAAGCCCTACCCACATTTTTTGAAGCCTGGACATAGCATGTATCTACCATGCTGACTCCACACATTCATCATCTCAAAGCCTGGAAAGACGATGCAAACCTCGGTGTACTCATTCCTTATAGCAGTTTAAAACCCTCAGGCTGGATACTAGACGCAGGGCCTAAATCATGGCATGAATGGGTGTTTTCTTTTACATTTCACTACACAGGCTTTTATACATGCAATGTGCACATGTAATCAAGGTTGGTTTCTTCTTTTAATATATGTACTTCTTATTTTAAAACAAAACAGAATTGACCCCCATCTCCCACAGAGGTAATAGTGCAGATTAGGTGTGGGTTGTTTGAAAAATGCATATGGAGATAACACATACAGTAATATGTTGGAATACTAAAAAATAACCAAGATTTTATATTTTTGTAAATTATACTTTGTATACTGTAGATCGTGAGTGTTCTGTGTTTTTATGGAAAGCTAATAAATTAAAGGCACAGTGGTATCTGGAAAAACTGAATGCTACCCATTCTAAAAAAATCGATTGTTCCCTTATCCAGTCTGTAAATACCTACCTTGGGCTAGCATCAAAATGGGATGTGGCTCCAGGATACTACAGTTACCTTCCTAAAATTTTCTCATATCCCTACCCTACTTGATTGGCAAGTGTCTGTGGCAGCTTTTGTCTTGAGTGACAGGAATAGGTCTTTTTGTCAGGGGTAACAAAAACAGAAGGAGATTTGACACAAGCAGTTAGAGAATATCTCAGGAGGTCCACAGTTCAAGAGGAACTAGAAGGGCCAAATTATCTCCTTTGCATGTTTGTAGAATATATAGCTGTCTCCAGCAGCCCTGTCACAGAAACAACCCCAAAGGACTCTACCATGACGTGATCTTTCCCTTCCTCGCAGCAGTTATGCTTGAAGCCTGGGGTTGGGCAATTTTTAAAAAGCATACAGCTCCAATCTGAAGCAGATGCACCACAATCCCCAGCCAGGGCTTGGGGGGTGACGCTGGCCTGGAGCCTCACCACAAAGAACGTCCAGCTGCCAAGGCTTCTTCTCTGCGAGGGGCATGAGTTAGGGCTGCTGAGTTTAGCACTCTCTAAGCTGGTGTTCCTGGAAATGCAGGTGAGATGAGGAGGGAGACATGGGACTATGCACACCACCCGCCTCCAAACACCACATCCATCTTGAGCTGTGGGGTGCTCTGCTGTCTGCAAGGTCCCTCAGTCAGTGCAACCTTGGGGAAGGGAGCTGAATGAGCAGCAACTTCTGCTTCCAGGATTCTCCTCCCCAGGTGGACTGCCAACTCCCAATTCTACGACCCTCTGCTCAGGCAACTCTGATGGCAGGTGAAGGTTGGGCAGCTATGAAGAAGGCCGCAATGACAGCATTGTGGTCTGGGTGAATTGCAAGAGCATCCAGAATGGGTGAGTAAGAGAGATACAATTGGACTTGATGGGGTCTGCCAGCATCCTCACATCCCATCCTCTGAGGTGCTCCAGGCACCCTAGGACATGTGCATACACAACTACCCATGCTGGTTAGTCAGGTGAGGAAGAGCTGTGCCCACCAACCCAGGCTACCTTAGTCCTTTATCCCCAGAGGGATGCACAGGAAGTTAAATGAGTCCTTCCAAGCTGTTGTAGATGATGTGGCTGTCTCAAACTGACCTGCAGACTTAGTGCTCTGCTTGCCCTGTCAGATGCTCTGGAAGCATAGTAGAATATAATTATGGGAATAGCAAAATGAATTAAAATGCTGGGGACTGAAATTACTCCACCCTTTCTTCCAAATATTGGATCCTGCTGTTGCCTTCCCCACTCAATTTTTTCACATTGAACTGTTCGCTCTCTTCTCATACCTGTGACAGCTTCATTTAGTTCCTTCTGGTACCCCTGTGCCCCGCCCCCGTATTTGTCTCTAGATTTCTGGGCCGAGTCAGGACAAGCTGAGAGGCTCTGGCCAGAGTCCGTGCAGGCTGCACAGTACTCAGGAGGTTGTGTATCCTCTGGGAGTTTCATGATGGCTTTGAGGTGTGGTAAACTGGACATGTGAATGATGACAGCCCCACTCTGTGCTGGAAGAAACTGATGGCATTCTTGGCCCCCTCTGTCTCATAAAGCAGCCTCTTTTGCAGATGTAGCGCCTCAGAGGACACCTCTCTCTTCCCTGAAGTTCTTGAGAGACAAACCACGTGCACTTGTTCAGAGGAGCAAAAATTTGTCCCCATGAAAGCTGCATGGGGTAGCCTGAGGCAGAACTGGAGTAGATTACTTCCCAGGTACGAGCAGAGCTGTCCTGAGAACCTGCTTCCAGTTGGCCCATGATAAGCACTGAGACACTGGACACTCCTGGCCTGTGACTGCCCAGTTAGCACGCTGCTTACAACTGAAGCTCTGGTTCGTAGATCAAGCCACACTAGCACCTGAGAGCTGGCGAGAAATACAAAGGCTCAGACCAGAAAGCTGTGTGATCCTGGCCGGTGGTTCTGATGTGCGTGTAAATTGTACACTAGTTATGCCTTTATTTGCTGGTGGTCTTGTGCTTTTTGGCTCTCTCTCTCTCTCTGTGTATGTGTGTGTGTGTGTGTGTGTGTGTGTGTGTGTGTGTGTGTGTGTGATATTATGTTGCTAAGCATTTTCTCTAAGCACTGTCCCTCAGAATTAGTGGGAAATAGGTAGAGGGTTCTCCTACATATAGCAAAATCTGAGGATGCTTGAATCTCTTTTATGAAATGGCCTGGAGAGATGGTTCAGCAGATAAGAGCACTTGCTACTTTTTCGGAGGACCTGAATGCAGTTCCTATCATCCATGTCAGACAACTCTCAATTGCTTATAACTCCAGTTCCAGGGCATCAGACATCTCTTCTGGTCTCTTCGGCCACCTGTATTTACATAACATATACACACACATAAAAATAAATCTTTCAAAAAAGCATAAAACAACAACACAGCAGTGCAGAAATAAAACAATGCATGTCCTGGTTGACAGATAGGGCAATTCTTCTGATCAAATCGTTATTTTGTGTATATGAATTAAAACACTCTGTTGCATTCCACAGATAATGTGTGGTTTCTATGTGTCCAAAGAGAGTCCAAATATATTTTAAAATAAAATGAAATCACATCCACTTGTGCTGTACTATTTAGGGGGAAATTCCTACACATACAATATAGATCTGTTTTTCTTTTCAAATGTTTAACATCCTGAGAGTGATAGACTCTAAGAATATGGAATCCACAGATATGGGGGGGGGGTAGAAGCTCTATAGTTCAGCATGTTATTTGACACATACCAAATGCTAAATATTTGAATAAATAAACAGCTTTAAATAAACACCTTTTCACCCCCCCCCCCCAGCTCAAGAGTGCTGGGAGAGACTGCAGGTGGGAGCCTAGGACTAGATTAGACTTAAGTGACAATTGTAAGAGGCAGGGAAGGGAAGCCAAGCTCAGATGGCCATCAACAGCTTGAGGAGTAGAGCAGAAACCTGCGAAACACCACTCTCTGCGGAAGCTTTTGTTTCCAAGGTTTGTGAAAGTAGAACAGACTAAGTTGAACTCTCGTTTCAGCGCTGCCGTGCACAGCTCACTGCCGGAACCTGTCAGCTGCTTTCCCCGTGGACTCCCAGCCAGGCCACCTCTTACTTCCTCATCGCACCGACATCAAGTGCTCAAATACAGATGGCACCCGCAGCGTTCTCCTCCAGCCACACCCAGCTCTTCCTTATCTGACTGCACTGCTGGCCTCCAGTCTTCTGAAAACCCGCCCTCATGCCCTCCCACCCTACCCAGACACCTAAGTTTCTCCATCACAGCAGCTCCACCTTCATTCTGATCACAAAAACAGCATTATGTACGGGAATCCAGTGGCTTGCGCAGTATTTTGTGAATTGTGTATACATGCAGAAGCGCTTATTGGCATGTCTTGGACCAGACACAAGTTTCTGCTTCTGCGCTCTGTGAAAACAGCCAAATTGGAGGCTTCTCAAACCCAGGATGCAATCTGTGAGATGGTGCAGCTTTCCTTCTAGAGGGTGTGTAAGTTCAAGAACACAGTACAGCAGCAAGCCACCAAACAATTGTCTCCAGACCAGCACAGACTCAACTGAGTGACGTCAGGGCCCTCTGCACATCTAGGTAGAGGTCTAGAACATTTTGGTTCTTGGGACCCTGTGCTGTTACATTTTGGCTTTAAGAAGAATGAAGTGATTTTTGCACAGACAGTCCTCTTAGACCTTGCTCTGCAGTGACTGTGTTCACTGTCATTGAGACAACTGTGCTACACTCTTCGAAGGGGCCGCTGGTCAGGAAATTCATGGGCAGCGCTGGCCATGTCGGCCTTGACTCAAGCAACTCTCAGCTGCAAACCTGAAGTTGCCTGTGACCTCTAAGACATGTGTACTTTGTGTGGCCCTCTTGCTCAGTCCCCTGAGTGTGGAAGGGCTCCTACTGACCTTAGAGGCTGTGGCACATCGTGAGGTTAGACGCCTCATTCTCCAGCTCCCCCCGGTCCACTGGCTTTGCAGCGTCAGCTCCATCTCCTGGGCTTGGATTTGTTCCCTTCTCCCCAGCCCTGAGACTTCCTACATGGAGTGGGAGCCAGCATACTCCCTCTCCAACCAGTGACTCCTCAGCTGTCCCCTTCCCTTCTCCGCCTCATCGTGTCCCTAAAACGGTGGGGACAGGTTCCGTCTGGCAGCTCCCGCTTTCACCCTCCCATGCCGAGATCTCTAACCACAGCCCGCCATGGCCCATCCTGCAACATCTTAAACTTTCTTGACCCCCTCCCCACCTCTCCCCTCAGGAGCCCTGACAGCACAGAATATCATACCTCACCTTCCTTGGAGTAGGCTGCCACTCATCCCAAATATTTCCAGTTGTCTTCTTTCTGTGCCACTTGTGATGGACTAGAAGGAGGCCAAGCACGGGGACACCTCTTTTAAACACCATCATTGCGCTATCACAAGAGGCCTTCACAGGCTAGGCGCCATCTCTGGGCATGGGATGAGTCTCTGAACTGCCCAGCTGCTCCTGTGTGCCCCAGCTGCCGTGTGGGTCTCCTGGCTGAGACCCATGACCCAGGTGGCCTCCCTGATGACATGAACTAAGTCATACTCTTAACACATATGCACATACACATTTACTCACACACACACTCACTCACATGCACCTACATACACAAACACACACATCTACACACACACTCACTCTCTCACACACACGAGCACGCGCACAGACACCTGTCCATGTGCACTTGCCCACACCAGCACCACTCAGACCAGGGACAGCGCGGGTGCTCAGACACGTGTTTGTGGTACTGCAGAGCAGCTGGCCTAGACAGAGCCTCCTCCTCCAGACCCAGCTCAGTCAGGCCCTGCACTGGAAGGTAGCTTGAACACCGCCTGCTGGCAGGGCCCACGCGTGTACGAGCACATCTTCTCTAAGTTTCTACAGCTATACTCCTGAAAGGGAAGCTCAAAGAGGTGAGGCCTCAGCTTGGTGGGGCAATGGGGGGGGGGGGGGCTGTTGTTGATTGGAGTCCTCATTGTTGGCTGTGAAGCCACCAGGTCCCCTGGGTGTTCTGGGCCTGTGCACACTCCATTCTCAGCACTCAGAGTTCTTTCCTCAAGATGGCGACGCCTAGTTACACGGCTGGCTCCCGATATCAGGAGGACCAGTCTCGCTCTAACCCCGATGCAGTCTCCACTTCCTGGCCCCCCACAGTCTGTGCCAACCTCAGGGGTACCTGGTGCGCTTTCTCTATTTATGGAACTTCCCAGCCTCACTTCCGGAAGTCGATGTTCCTCTGGTCCAGGGGAATGGCGTCCGTGCCCCCTGCCTGCATAGTCTGCTGAGCCTAGCCAGCAAGGAAATGACCCAAGATCCTAATTAGGGTGAATGACCCCCCGGAGAAATGCCGATCCTTTACAGTAGTCAGTGTCCTTCCCAGCAGCCCTAGCGCTTGTCAGATGTTTATACAGTCTTCATTAAAGAGAGCTGCCTTAGATAAGGGGTCCCAGCGTGGCATCCACACCCAGATAAGAAGAGTGGGGGCCTGTCAGATTGCTGGGGAGAACCGGAGCCCGCCGCACTCCCTGCAGAATAGTCAGGGGGACGATGTGGGCCTGCTCCTCCTGGGCTCCTCGCTGCACCTAGTGGCACACCACCACAGCCCCACAGCCCCCCTTCAGGGCCCAAGATGTCCCCTGGGGCCTTCCGGGTGGCCCTGCTCACGCTGTTCCTGCTGGTCTGTCTCGCACACCCGAAGCCGCTGCAGAGCTGGGGCCAGGCATCCCCCGGGGGAAAGGACCGCAGCTCGCTGGGATTGCCCGGAGGTGGCGAGCAGGGCGTTTTTGACCTGAAGATGTTCCTAGAGAACATGAAGGTGGATTTCCTGCGAAGCCTTAACCTCAGCGGCATTCCCTCCCAGGACAGAACCAGGGCGGAGCCGCCCCAGTACATGATCGACCTGTACAACAGATACACTGCAGACAAGTCAGCCACGCCTGCCTCCAACATCGTGCGGAGCTTCAGCGTGGAAGGTACCGTGCCTCCCCCAGGGTGCCACGGGGGGGGGGGGGCGTCCGGGGACGCTGTCCCCACAGTGAACTGGCTCTTCTAGGTGGGGCGCCACTGACCACAAGCAGAGCTTCAAGTTTCCACCGAAGTGAAGGAATAAAACAGGGTGAAAACACAAATTTCCAGCTCAGCATCTGGGTGTGCCTCACGGGCTTCCCGACAGGGTAATGCAAAGTCTTGGGGCCTGTGCATCTACAGGAAGCGACCTGATGCGCAGCCCCGGCTCCTGCCGCTGGGGCACAACGCCACTTACCAAGGTAGTGACCAAGGACGCCAGGCTTCTGCTTGCCTCTGCCCCCCCCCCACTTCCCTTTCTTCTCTTCCTCCCCCCTCAATTCCCCACCTTTTGCCTTCAGTCTTCCTTGCTTTCCTTCCCACCTCCCTGCTTCCCCCTCCCTTTTTCTTCCCTTCTCAAGTCTTCCTCTTCCCTCTCCTCCCTTTCCTTTCCTCTTGACTTCCCTTCCTCTTTCCTTCCTACCTTCTTCTCTCCCTTCCTGTCTTAGAAATAGATCACTCATTTAACCTGCAATAAACATATATTTTTCAGCCCTGAGGGAAAGCCATTTTCTCTCTTGTAGAGCACTTCTTAAACCCAGATTTTACAATGTTAATAGATTCGTGCTGGAAGAGGTCCTCATTGTTTTTTAGACATAATCTTCATCAGCAGAGCAGGCAGTGTGTCTGTCCAATAAGTTTTCAGTGTAAGGGTCCTTGGTGTAAGAAGACCAGAAGACAAACAGGGAGCTGAGGGCTGTAACTGATAACTCAGAGAACACCAGAATCTGGGTAGTATGAATTACTGGGGTTGCCAGGGCTGAGGAACCCAGGCCAGGCACCCTTGCAAGGTCATGTCACTGACCCTCCATCCTACACAGAAGCAGCTCCCTTCTCCTGCTTTGTCATCTCCCTCTGAAGGACCAGGTTCTCTCCCGTTCTGGTCCAGAGATCTGCAAATGGCTAGGAGGCCCAGTGCAGGGCCACAGCCAGCCCTGGCCATGTCTGTCCAACCTGCAGAGCATGCACATGTCTAATGAGTTTTCTCTGACTGCCCAGCAGAAGTTTCATGGGAATTTGCTTTATTTTCTTTTAAATATAGGTTCATTTTTGTTTGTTTGTTTTCAAGATAAGGTTTCTCTGTGTAGCCCTGGCTGTCCTGGACTCACTTTATCAACCAGACTGGTCTTGAACTCACAGAGATCTGGCTGCCTCTGCCTCCCCAAGTGCTGGAATTACAGGCTTGCGTCACTGTGCCTGGCTGGCTTCATTTTTTAAAGACATATAGTTTGCAAGTCACGAGGCCCCTAGGATTGACTGTCTATGATCTCTGCCTAGGCGAAAGGCTGCTGGCTTTTGTTGCTGTGGTTTCCTTTAAATTGCAGCCTAAATCATCATATTCATGGGCTGATATATGAAGCCCAGCCAGAGACACCAATCCACCTACATATATGTCACTGACACATTCGCTACACAAATTCAGCAGCAGCAGCAACATACATGTGTCCCAGGAAACGTCTATCTAATCCCAGTGGGCATGTGATTTCTTGTGTCTGCTGCAGTAAGAGCACCTTAGGCCATAAACGCAATGGACAGTTCGCACTGCCTGATCCGCCAGAGTGTTCACCGGATTACTAGGGAGCTGGAACCATGTGTCTATGAGGAGTGAGGAGACTGCGGAAAGCCTGATTAAGGGCCACCTGCTTTGTCACAGGCGCTGGGCTTGCATGGGAGGGGCACAGAAGTAGCAACTGCGCAACAGCTTTTGGCTCCTGACTGGCCTGTAAGTTCCATGTGACACTTTGATAAAAGCAAATTAAGATGGGCCCCGTTATACAAGAGAGCAAGCTGAGGCACCAAGAAGCTCAAAACTATCCAAGGATAAAAGCCCAGTGAGGGACAGGGTCAGGACTGACACCTCCATTCCTCATTCATGTTTCTAAATTTCCCAACTTCCTTGCTCACGGTCAAGCTCTTGCTGTGCCTGCGTCACGCACTGCACTTTAGCACAGGCATGCATGAATACAGAAGGAGCACTGTGTGCAGAACTATCTGTACTTCCAAGGATCCACTGGCTGTACCAGAACATGGCTCCCAAGAACAGGCAGTGATGGAGCGTGGGCAGGGACTCACAAATGGCAGTGTCTGTGGTCAAGCCGTGGCCCAGGAGACATGGGAAACAGACAATTATGAGGCCCCATTGTTGCCTAACACAACGAATCTCTTAATATGAAGATACTTTTTACAAAATAAATAAATAAATAAATAAAATCCACATCCACTTTCACTTTTGATGAAAGTTATTAACAGCATTCCAGATTATTTAAACATTCCAATGCTGCAATGTTCTGCTTTATCTAAATATGGACTTGGATTGCCCCTAGCCAGAACTGCAACATCTTCACTCTAAAGCTGAGAGTGTTTCTTCTGTCCTGCCTTAGGTGAGGATGCCGATTCCCTGTGTGCACTCTGACAGTTAAACGCTGTGGATAGGGATCCCCACATGTGTAAAGTTGAGATAATAACTGTATTCTCCCAAACTCATAGTAGAATGCCAGGCACACAGTAGATGCTCAATAAATTGTAGATACTGTTAACCGTATCTGGAAGTACCTCCTTCTGCTCTCCCTGGAACAACCCCAAGAGAACCTTCCCAAATGCTCTTCTACTAAGGTTCGAAGTGACCCAGAGTGAAACTAAAAATCACAAAATCTATCATCCTAGACATCCCTCAAAGCAAACCATGAAGTTTAGTTTAACTTTGGTATCATGAAAATGGACACTGGGTATCATAAAAACGAAATGTGTTTGCATTTCAGATGCTATATCGACGGCTGCCACAGAGGACTCCCCCTTCCAGAAACACATCCTGATCTTCAACATCTCCATCCCTAGGCATGAGCAGATCACTAGGGCTGAGCTCCGTCTCTATGTCTCCTGTCAAAATCATGTGGACTCCACCCATGGGCTGGAAGGGAGCATCGTCATTTACGATGTTCTGGATGTAGATGAGGCTTGGGATGGCGCCTCGGGGACCAAGACCTTCTTGATATCTCAGAACATTCAGGATGAGGGCTGGGAGACCTTGGAAGTGTCGAGTGCCGTGAAGCGGTGGGTCAGGGCAGACTCCACGACCAACAAAAACAAGCTGGAGGTGATGGTGACGAACCATCGGAAAGGCTGCGACACACTGGATATCAGTGTCCCTCCAGGCTCCAAAAACCTGCCCTTCTTTGTCGTCTTCTCCAATGACCGCAGCAACGGGACCAAGGAGACCAGACTGGAGCTGAAGGAGATGATTGGCCATGAGCAGGAGACGGTGTTTGTAAGGACATCCAAGAGTGGTTACCAGGAGGCAGGTGGGACCCACGAAGAGGAGGAGGGAGCAGATGGCCGCACAGCTGTAGGACCGTTTTTAGCTAGAAGGAAGAGGAGCACTGGGGCCAGCAGCCACTGCCAGAAGACCTCTCTCAGGGTGAACTTCGAGGACATCGGCTGGGACAGCTGGATCATCGCGCCCAAGGAGTATGACGCCTACGAGTGTAAAGGAGGTTGCTTTTTCCCGCTGGCTGATGACGTGACGCCCACAAAACACGCCATCGTGCAGACCCTGGTGCATCTCAAGTTCCCCACGAAGGTGGGCAAAGCCTGCTGCGTCCCGACCAAACTGAGCCCCATCTCCATCCTGTACAAGGATGACATGGGGGTCCCGACCCTCAAGTACCACTATGAAGGAATGAGTGTGGCGGAATGTGGGTGCAGGTAGTCCTGGCGCGCCCAGCTTGGGGGTGCAGGAGAAGGAAGAGGTCCTGACAGGCCCTGCATCCCCCTGGCCACGACAGGGGCTAAGCTGACATGAACCCATCCTGGAGAAGGAAAGAAGCCACTTGCCCCTCCTGTGTCCAGTGGGTTCCTCTGCTGAATTGACAATGACTGGGGTGTGACAGTCTGTGGGCAGAGGCCCTGGAAAGGTTGATGGGTAGGGAGGAGGTGATGGAAAGGAAATTGGAGAAGAGATGATTTAGGGACAGCAGAAATTCAAGGAGAAACCAGCCAAAGATACAGGTGATGGGCAGAGTCAGGGAAGTTACAGGGTCCAGGAATGGGTCCAGGCTACCCATTCCAGTACCGTCAGGAGTGAAGGAGGAAATGGACTTGAACTGTCATTTCATGTTATTTCCCACACCCCACCCGAGATGTACACTGTGACCTCTGATTTTCAGTTGTAGAAACCAAAACTCTGCCAGGCAATTACTATGACTCAGTGTTGGGATTCTACCCTGAGTCTGTGGGGCTCTGAAGGCTGAGACCTTCCCAAGTGTCCCAGGCAGTTTATCAGGTTAGAGTATCCTGAGGGAGTCAATAGATGTGGAAAGCCTAGCATGAGGCTAGGCAGGACTGGCCCAGGTTCATTTCCACCAATACAAATAGGCTGCTTGCTGTGCTCCGGCACAGTCTGCTTGCTCCATGCCCACTCTGTGGCCATGTGATTTCTAATTGAAACACGCCTCCCCCCCAGTAAATATCTCCAAGCAAATACAGAATGGAGAGAAGCAGTTCGAGACCTCAGCCCTCGGGCACTCGCTGTGATCTGAGCCACCTTGACCACTGGTGCAGTCCTCATATGTTTCAGGAGTCAGACAAGGCCCCTTGCAATCCTTCGTTCCAATCCCGTGTCCAGAAGGGCTGCCTACTGCGTGGGCCTCTGAAATGATCTACTCTGTCTGGCCAGCACCCCAGGCAGGTGCATTCCTTGCCTAAGGACTCCACAGAGGACAGGCTGGGGTTCAACTTTGTTGGGATTGAATGTGCTCTTGGCCAACTATGAAATGTGTCTATTTGCCTTCCTTAGTGACTAGGAGTCCAGCCTTCCTGGGTGAGCCTCCTGGCATCTGAGGAGAGCTCTGTTCCTCACTTGCTGCCACTGACTCTGCCTACAGGTATCAGCTCCCTTGAGTACTGTGTCCCCCAGGGAGGACAGCATTTCCATTCCTGTGCTTCAACTTCTCATATGACTCTCCCAGTGGCTCACAGGACTGCATGGGGTGAGAGAGACAGCCCGATGCCCTTAGGGCCCAGAAGGTCTTGGAGAGATCTGGACAACTCTTATTGATTGACGCATCCATATAACTTTTAAAAATGGTCTGCTTTAAATGTTTACAGGGAATCAATGAACAACTCTTAACACTAAACACAATGGAGTGTTGTTTAATTGGTTGAGCTGGAGAAAAGGTAAGTTTCTAACACATGCCAGGCAGCATGGCATGGTAGCACCATTCACAGATGGGGGTGGGGGGTGACATCTTCTCTGGGTCCTGGTGATGTTTCTGTGTGTGAGAGAGAGTTTTACATAGAAATAAAGCCTAACACCTGGTGTGTGCCTTTCCTGAATGGAAGGTTAGAGCTGCAGGCTCTCCAGTTCCCCAGCCCCGCTCACCTGCTGGTTAGCACCTAGGAAATGTGTCATTACTTCCCCTGGGGTTGGGAAGTCAGAGGGGAAGGACATGAAGCTTCCACAGGATGAAGGTGTGTGACATCTGCACATCAGAGTCAGTGGGTGTATTTGTGTGCATGTGTGCTCTTGTGTGTGTGTGTGTGTCTGTGTATGTGTATGTGTGTGTGTGTCTGTGTGCGTGCATGCGTGTGCTGCCCTGAGTGACTATATAGAAGAATTTTGCTGGAAGTTGGAGTTAGCTGCCCCATTTTAGTGCCCCCTCTCTCCCACATTAGACCAGAATGTCTCTCTCCAGGAGACAGATAACCTCAGGTTATCTCCCCCAGTGTTGAAGGGTGAGGGAAGGGTGTCTCTGCCAGTGTCTGTCCAGCCCTGTCATGCTCAGAAGCCCCTGTCTCCAGCCAAACCCTACCCACAAGCTCACTCCTGTTCTCCTTCCCCAGCCCAGTGTTCTGCCCACTCCCACCCCCAATTTATAGCTGCACAGGCCAAGCACCATCGCCTGTGAGGGAGGCCCCAAAGTCTCATACCACCCTCTCGGGCCTACTGGATGTTCCAGCTCTGGAGAGCACCAGTCCCTGCTCAGGGAAGCATCTCCCACCCAAGGGCTCTGCAGAGGACAAGGTTGGGGGTAGTGTCCCTTACAGAACACCATGAAGTTTCACTTAGGTGTCATAAAAAAAGTGGACAGCAGGCGATGCCCCTCTGCATGCACCTGTATTTTAGGTCCTGTCTCGGCAGCTGCGACAGAGGACTTCCCCTTCCAGAAGCACATCCTAATCTTCAACATCTCCATCCCTAGGCACATGACACCCTGTTACACAGTTGCCAGGGCCCACCATGGAAAGCTGACATCCTCCTGGCTTGTGCTGCTCATGGTCTTGAGTTTTCTGGAGATAAGACCATTAACCACTTGGTTTCACCATGTCTTGGGGGATGAGGGGGAGACAACATGCTCTGTGACTCAGAACAAACTGACATGTAGCAGGACACAGGACAAAACACAGAAGGAGAGACTCAAAGTGGGTCTCTGGCTTTCGTGCTCCTGGATTATTTTCGCACAGCATCTGTCAAACTTGCTCACCCATATCCATGGACTGAAATGTGATCTGGCCAACCTGGGGCCGCTCACGTGGCTGATGCACCCATCTGCAATGCCACATTGCACACAGCTGCTAGAGCACCTTCTGTGTATGGTAAAGCGGTCACTGCAATGTGCATGAAGACGCTGAAGCCCAGGAAGCAGGGCCCTGTCCCTATGCTGCCCACTGACAGGCTGTCCTCTGCCTTTTATGACCTATTCTCTGTGCTGGGGACAAGGGGAGAGAGCTGAGTAATGCCGAGAAAAATGTGTCAGACCCATCGACAGGAGGATGTGTGTCTGGGAGCGGTTTCAGGCCTCATGAATCTAGGGAGACGGAATCATGTTTGGATGTGAAATGCCTGTCCTAGAGTCTGATGACCCTGTTATTTCTGCCCTGGTATGTGCCAGAGAAGCCCCCAGTTAGGGTGCATGCCTTGCGTTGTCCCAGATTCATCTTCAACAAGGATAACAAGGAAACTGTGCCCATACCTGAGCACAGACTCCCCACATGGTTTGTGCTGAGTCAGAGGTACCCAGCTTAGATCCCCTTTCTCTCTTCATAGCAGTCCATGCTTTGTAGATGATCACCACGCAGACCGCCATTGGCTCACCACTGACCTTAGCTTTCCTTGGACACATCCTGCTCAGACAACTTCTGTTTACCAGGGAATGGACTCATTCCACTGTGCACATCCCTACTCACCAGAAAAGATGTCCCTGACCTGGAGCACCCTCAGTGTTCCTGCAACATCCTCTCATAAGCATCAGTTTTGACTTGATGGTTTCTTTAGTGATGATAGTTCCTAACACAGGAATTATCATTGACAGGGAATTGACAGAGGCTGTAGATGGGACTTCTAGCCCTTTGCTATAGCTGATATGTTAAACGGTGTGCAGCTCTGGGGGGTCAGGGACTTTTCTAGTCCGTCACTTTCTGGGTCAAAGTGTCTAGAAAGCAAGGACAATAAACATTGATCATAAAAACCATGTGTGCTTTGGGGCATTCACAAACTTCCCCATTTTTTGTTTATGTGGCACACACGTGTGTATCCATGTTCACATGTGTGTGTATGCCTGTGGGGAGGGATGCTAATGCATGCAGAGGTCAAAGGTTGGCGCCAGGTGTCCATCAGTCTCCATCTTGAAGCAGGGTCTCTCACTTAAATCAAGAGCTCAGGGGTTAGACCAGCTTAGCTGGCCAGCTTGTTCTGGGGACCCTGCTTCTGCCTTCTATGTGCTAGGATTATAAATGAGCCACCATGCTCATCTGATAGTTATGTGGGTGCTGAGGGCCAGAACTCCTGTCCTCATGCTTCTATGGCAAGCATTTTATACACTGAGCCATCTCCCCAACCAAACTTAGCCATTTTTAATGAAATAATTGATATGGTAGATAATTTTTTTTTCATAATGTCAAAATCAGGCCAAACCAAGAAATGGCAGACCCATGTAACTCTGTGAGTAAGCAAGGCCTGAGAACCCCAAAGCATCACCGAAGAAAGTACCTGGGAAGGGGTGCTATTTTGTTTTACTATTGCTTTGACAAAATACTGACCAAAAGCTTCTTGGGAGGAGGTTTCTACTTTTACACTTCTGAGTAACTCTTGACCTTCAAAGGAAGGTATGTTTGTAAAGTGAGATATCTCCCTTCCCTCTTTCCCCTCTCTCCCCCTCTTTTCCCTCTTTCTTTTCTCTCCTTTTTTCTCTCCCCTCCCCCTCTCTTTGTTCTTCCTCCTCTCTCTCCTCCCTGCTATGAGAGAGGGAAGCTCTCTCATCCTGCACCTTCTCCCTCCCTCATACCTTCCCGCTATGAGATGGGCAGAGATTTCTCTGCTTTCTTTGCTCTAGCATATTCTGCCAACAGGCCTAAAAGCAATGGAGCCAGATGAAAGCTCTGAAAACATGAACCAATATAAAACTTCTCTCTTTAAGTTGTTTCTGACAGTAAAGCAAAACTGACAAGAAGGCCACAACATCAGAATATGGACAAAGGGTCAGTACACAGACAGATGTATGAGCAGATAGCTCTCCTACAGATGGACCTCTGTCTATATCCTAATTTCATGTCACCCAATCAAGGATTCAGTTTCCCAAGGCATTGTAAGGGCTGTAGGTAGTTTTTTAGCCCATATTCGGCAACTCTGTGCATTTGTATACCTTTCTGCCTCACATCCTTGGAGAGCATCTTTTGGAAATGTTGCCAAAAACCAACATTATTCTGGATAGTCTTCACTCTCTCCCTGTCCAGAGCTTGGACTGGACTTCAGCAGTACCAGATAGGCCCTCAGAGGAACTCTGACTGCACACTTGGAGTTGAGTCTTCCCAGGTGGAGACTGAAAAAGGCCCAGCCACCCGAGAGAAGCCTGGTGTCTGTGGCTTTCCACCCCAGTCTGATTCTGACAATAAGTCTGCCTCATTTTCATTGGCTGCAAACAGTGGAGTGATGAGACCATATGTCACTTGGGTATTAAACAAATCCTAATGAGCTAAAAGTATGTTTGTTTTAGCTAACTGACCTCTTTGGCCTTCATAAACCACTTGGTAAACATCTTCAGATAATGATTTCCAGAAATTGGCTTGTGGGTTTCCAGCTTAGAGTAAGCTTTCTTGTCCTCACCCCAAAGATCACCTTCTCCGGCGCTCTGCTGCAACACCATGAGACTCTACCTGTTACCCACCAAGCCCAGCCAGTTCTGGGTATAACTCAAGACAGTAGAAGGGGGAAATGAGAAGGGGCCATGCCAACTGCTATTCTCTGTGTATACAACGCTCCCTACAGTCAGACCATAGGATACCTGCTGAATGATGGAAATGTGCCCACCAAGAGGTTGCCTGGGCAAAACAAGAGTTCTAAGTGCTGACTCTCTGGTAAATATTCTTTGATATCCAGAGAAAGTCAGTCACAAGCAAAAATCCATAGCACTTTCATAAGAAAAAAGGCAGAATATAGCAATGTACCTGAGACGGGCTCGCAGGCATGTTCCTGAGGGTATGAGAATGATTTGTGTTCCTCATGTGTCTCAGGACCACAGAGAGCCACTCACTTCTCGCTGAAAGCCCTGGGCTGAGCCTCTGACTAAGAGGGGTCTCCATTGACAGTGAATGACACTCACTAGCTCTCACAGTCAGCCTTATCTGATCTGAAATTATTGATTCCACGTCCATCTAGCTTGTCACACCCTATACGGAAGTCCAAACATTTCATTCACCTTGTTGTGAAGTTGTGAGGAAACCTATATTGTAACTAGGAGCATAAGCAGAGTATAAGAAAAAACTTCAATCCCTGAGGCTGACAATGGCCCCAGACTCAGCCTTCACAGTATCTGAGATGATGGCTGCCTTTCCAGCCTCTTCTCACTATCTGTCACCTGTCCCCAAGTGAAATGGTGGGTTCAATAGCAATAAAATGAAATATATAATGCTTTTTATAAAGTACTCACCAGTACCTTCCAGACACTTCAATGCTTTGTGAAAAATTTTATATTTAATCTACCCAATAACTCACATAGTCTACTGAATAAATAAGATACTTTCCTAAGTCTGTGAATAAACAGGAGCAGAATCAGACCTCCAACTGCAACTGCCTAATTCCAGAACCACGGGTCACCCACAGCACTGAGAAGATGATATTTATTTGTAACTTAATAATTCTCATTTGCAAGTCTTTAATAAAAACTGTAGTTGTGGAAAGCATGTCTCAGGACCCAGTATGTGACAGGAACTCAAGATAAATACAATTATTTGTGTTATTCTATGCAGACATGGCTCAGTAAGAAGAAATGCAATGTTCCTTCCGGGTCAAACCACCCTGGCCTCTTCTTCATAGTGCCCTGA